TGTTAGGTGATAACTTCAGTTCTTGCTTTAGCAAGGCCTTAGTAGTTATATAAATGTGTTGATTTTTGATTAGAAAGGCTAATAGAAGTATTAATTTGGTAGCCTGGGAGGGTTTTCAACCCATTTTTCAAGCATTCCAAGAAAACAGAATGGAGACATTGGCTATTTATTTAGACCTATGGAAAGCCATAAAAGTTATGACACTCGGTGTTGTGAAATACACCTGGCCCTCACAGCAGAATTCGTGTCCATGAACAGCACGTCTTGTCTCACTGCAAAGCACACCTGCAACTTCAAAAGGCACAATTGGGCAATCTATTAGCTTCTCATGATCAAAAAGGAAAGAGTCTCAGTCTTCTCCTGTCGTCTTCACTCTTACCACCTCCACAAGTCTCAGCTGCACGCTCCTGCTGTCTGCAGCATGCCAACTTTGGCACTCACCAGACCTGCTCAGCCACTGATTGAGGTCATCAATCAGAAGACTTAACTTACCAAACCTTCCCCCTTTCCCAGGAAGCTGCATTGTCTCCTGCTCCACTGGTGAACTGGGCTGATTCACAGGGAGATCTAACAGATGTTGGAGGTAGCACAAGGAAGAAACAGGACTGTGCAGCAAGGAAAACCACTTTTCCACTGCAAGCAAGCTGTTTCATGAGCTCAGATACTTTAACTGCAGGTTTCATTAGTTTACTGTAACAAACTAAATGAAAACTGGAGCAGTTCAAGATCCGATTTTTTAGCAGATCCAGAGTCCCTGCCTGTGGGAAGACCTGGAGAGTAACAGCTTCAGCTGACATACTGTTTATCTGTCAGTCTCTTAAGTACCTTAGAACAGATTCCACAAACTCCAGCAAGCTCTGTGAGATGCCACCAAAATAAGCTAGCAGGAAGTACTCAGGACTAGTCCCAGTTCTATTCTCCCTGAAGATTCAGGCAACTCTTTTCATTTGGAATTCAGAACCATGAACATCTGCCTTTCTGAAAACAGATATTAAATCTCCTTTCTTTCAAAAGTAGAAATCACACTTAACAGCATTGATATTTGCTTTTTATATCACGTGTCCTTACAAGTGCTTGCTGTGTCCTTCGCTTGAAGTTGGTCCTGTTTCTGCCACTGCCAGAGGGGATTCAAACCCTCTTTCTTCCCCACGCACACCCTAACCACCAGACTGAAAGCCAGTCTGGTGTGGTGGGAGGGGAGCGTGGAAATGTTTTCTCCTCTCCAGCCAAGGATGGAGGTTCTGTCGGTTCCAAAGAGAATGACTCCATAGTCTGGTATTGAACACAGTTGTCAGAATAGTCTGCTTATGTATTTCAGGTATTTGTTTTGTGTAATGATAATTTTAATGCAAAATACACAGTTGTGCAAACAGGGATCAGAAATTTTTCCTTCCAAAACTTTAGCCAAACAGCTGTATAGTCATGCTGTCTAATAACATGCATTTATGTTGTAGTAAATGATTTATGTTGGAATAAAAATGCATCACTGTTAATTCAAGAAATGAATTTGAAATGGATAGAGGGAAACAGTTCTGTGAGTAATACGTAATTAAACTGTAGAGTCCATCATTCTGGGAGGAGTGAATATCTGTAGTTACATGGTTTGTAATCATCCTGCCCCAGAACGTAAGTGCTGGCTGACTCAAGAAAAAAAAAATTGTCCTTGCTGATTATAAGACCCTGCTGTGGCTAAGGAACATTTTGGGGAATTAAAAGAAAAATCCTTCCGTAAACCATTGCAGGTCATTGCTAGGATTTACAACATGAAGAGAGACTTCTAGTATCATATCTGTCCTTTTATCATTTATTAAACAAAGAAAAATGATTTGTTGTATATCATATGTCCTTAATTTTCATTAAACAGACAAAATATCACACTTCCATATGCTTCCATGAACAACCTGCCTAATATGTGAATTGCATAAAATCTGACATAATTTAAAAAGATACCTCATTTTCCAAACATCCACAGGCCTAGAGGTGAAACATTCTACACAGTTTTAAGCAAGTTAAGTTTTTTTACTTTTCTGCCCTTACAGTGTTGGCGTGCTTGTAGTACTACTTACCCCTGTGTTAATAAGGATGCAATGTGCTTGTCACGACAGCCTTATTTACTGCTTCCTCAGATTTATGCTTTTCTGACTTAGTGAAAGAAGGAGAGGAAGGGAAGAAAAGCCTGAGATGCCTATGATCATTTCTGCATAAATTAGACAAGGTTTCCAGGTATGTATAGTGTCACTTAAGTGTTACAGCTGGAAAAAAAACAAAAACATGCTTTCAAGCATGCAAGTCTTTTTTCAAATCTGAAAATGAATCAGCAACTTCCCAAGCTAAATACAGAACAACTGCTTAGAGTTTGGGTAGGGATGTATCAAATAGACCATCTTTGAAGAAAAGGTTAGTGGCATCCCAGGAGTACCGGAGACGTTAATCAGCGAAGGGAGAGAGTATTATGAAAATACTCATCATCTAGGGGAAAGGAGGAGGGAGTTAAAACCCTGTAGGAAATTGCATGAAAGTTATGTGCCATAAAAACAGTCTGTCTCTTGAGTCAGTGGTGTATTGGTATGCAGTCCATCCAGAAGCTTGTCTTAATTTTCCAGATAAACAGATACGTTTAATGAAAGATGACCCCTCTCCCTAGGAACTTTGTTACGTTTATGCCCTGAAACCATCAGGACTAAGGCAAAATACTGCTGAAATGGAACATGCAGAAATTAGGGCAGTAATTAACATGAGTTATATGACTGTTCGTGACCAAAAGAGCTTTTTGTTAATAAACCCAGTATTTTCTATTTTATAGGATATTGATTTCTAACTAGGGAGATGGAGAGTTGCCCAGAGCGCTGTTGAATCTCTGTCCTTGAAGGTGTTCAAGACCTGCTGGGACCAAGCCCTGAGCAGCCTGGTCTGAGGTCAGTTTTGAGCTCGCTTTGAGCAGGAGGTGGGCTAGTGGCCTCCTGGGACCCCTTCCAGCCTCAATGATTGAGTGTTACCGTGTCTCATTTCAGACAGCTGATTTATGGGACTAAGATGGGTGCACCCTCACCCTAGACGCTCAGTCATACACTGCTTCCATAGGAGGTCAGGGAACCTCGGTTGGGTGCTTTTCCCCATAGTGTATTAATGAAGCCCAAAACTCAATGACTGCATTTAGACTTCTCCCTACGCTGTAACAACGGTTATGTTTTAGCAGAACTGCTTTTCCCTGGGAGGAACAGCACAATGGTCTTACAGCAAAGTTAACTCTTAAAATCAACAAACTGGAACAGGAGGCGGCCATTTTTCCTTGTCATATGCACAGCGTATTCAGGCTCCTCAAACCAAAGCAGTTAGCTGGAAAGTCCTTATTCCTTAATTTGATTATCTTTGTTTACATAGTCTAGAACTAGCAATGCTGGAGTCTCACATTAATGACCTTAAATTTTCTCAAGTCAGAAATTCCATTTTCTCCTTAATTTTTGTGAAACCTCTTTGTTGCAGCCACAGAATTGCCTTTTTTATCCTCCTCCATTCCATCTGTCCAAAAGGTATTTTTTGTTTGCTAAATAATTAATGGTAGGAAACTTCTTAAGAATTCCTTTTAAACCCATCACAAAATATTAAATGCTATGTTTCCCTTTCATCTATGATTGGATGTGATACCAAAACTTCAGTAATTCTAATGTTGTGGAAAAGTCAAGTCTTTTAATAGTTCTGTTCTGTTTCAAGTCCAGCAAAAAAGGCAATTGGAATACAAGTTTGTATGCAAAACACTGAACTATCGGGTGCTTTTCAGATATGCTGCAGTTCCTCAACTTCAATATATAGTATCAGGGTGAAGTGCATGGCCACAGAACTTACGTAGTTGAGTAAACAACCACGTAGTTGTACAAATGTTTCTGCAGAAATGTTTCAGAAATTTGCCTTGAAATTAGCATTGCTATACAACTCTCTCCTCCCTGTTCCTCTTGAGCAGCCTCAAAATAGTCTACAGTAGATACTTGTATTACCTTATTTTCATCTAAATTAGAATTTGCCATATGTTTATTTTGGTTCAGTCATCAGTTTTTTTTCATTATTCAGTTAAATGTAGGTATCCATAGGATAATGCACCTACAATTTTGCTGAGTACAGGAGACCTGGTGTGCTATTCAAAGCAAGAGTGGCTGGTGTTGAATTTTCTAGCTGAAGGAAAGTGGATGTAGTATTCAGGGCATGTACAGCCAGATTTTTTTTGTCCGATAATGTGAGACAAACAATAAAGATAACATTTGTAGTCTGAAGATTTTTAAAAACTAAAGTATGGTTTCTCTTCTGGTCCTCTTTTAAAGACCTTTGGAGCATCTGGTACAATTGCTACTCTCTGATATGGTATGCCTTTGATAACTTTTTGAAGATTTGTAGAAAGAATATTTTTATTCTCAGTTGCTTTAGAAGTGGAATGTTCCATACATCACTGCACCTAACATTTGTCTAAGTACCTGTACACAAATGGAAAAACCTTCTCTGAGTAACTTTAGACTGGAGTGCTAAGCCTTTGCTGGTATTTACTAATGCGCAATGGCAGCAGTAGGTGTAGTTGGCAGAAACTTAATAGAAATAGAATTTTTATCTACTTATAGTGACAATTAAGACAGATGGAAGTGCTAAAATCTGCTAAAATAGGGAACATAGAGAAGTAAAGTTTTGTTTTCTGTATCAGTTTACCAGTTAGTCCATAACATCTGAATGTAAAATTCTAATATTCTAATTCAGGTCTATTTTTCCTGAGAAAAATAAGTAGAATAGGAGCTCTGGAAGACAGATAGACCCTGTCTTTACTCAAAACTAAGTAATTGCTTTTCCTTGAAGAAATGTTTTGGTTTTGTTTGTTACTTAAACTTTGTTTCCTGTCAAAACAGATAATGTTTTAAGAATAAACTAGAATCAGGAAACTGAGTGTTTTTTTTCAGAATGGGATTACTTTCCTGTCAGCCATAGGAGCTGATATCTTTTTGCTTTCCTTGTCCCTGGTTCAGTCACACACAGCTGAATGGACTTGGATCCTTCTCCTACCTTAGCTGAAGCCTGTTATTCGACAGAGGGATTTTGATATGCTCCCTGAGCAGCATCACAATGTTAACAGCACATGAGCATATTGTAATCCTTCAATCTTTTCTCCTGAAATACTTTGACCTCAACCATTCTATATCAAATGATGTATTTTAAACTTGAAGAAGCAGTTTAGCCGACGTCCTTGACTGAACTGAATTTTTCTGATAGAGAAAGGAATGTACTGGCAGTTTTTATAAAAATTCAATTGTGATTTACTCTAGTCTTTTTTGCTGCTATGCTTCCATCCATTTTCAGTCTTAAGGCCCATCAATTTAGACGACTTTTTTTCTCTTGGGGAATCAAAATATTCTGTTCGCTGGGCTCAATTTTACCCTTGGTGAAAGTATGAACTAACACATGCTTTTTCATTCCACATACACTGAAAATTTTTAGCTCCAGAGCTGCTTCAGCATGCCATGAAGCCCATGAATTTGTCAATGTTACAATTTTCTTAATAAAGAAAACTGCCAAATGTTATATAAGCCCATGAATTTGTCAAAGTTACAATTTCTTAATAAAGAAAACTGCCAAATGTTATAAACAAGAAATAGTCCCAATCCGCCAAATGAAATCTAAAAGTGAGAGATCCTTTGCAATTATTTAAGCCAAAGGGAGCTTTGTGGCGAATGCAAATTAAACCAAGCTTTTCTGGGACAGTGTGAAGCTATTCACAGTTGCGTCCCAATTTCATTTTATTTGGTTTAAGATTCCATAGAAAATAGTGATTTTTTTCCTTGAAATATCTGTAAGTTATAAACCTTTGTCTATCATAGTGCTTGGAAGTTTTTAAATGGAAAAGCACGTTTGGCATCTGAAATCTCTTGAGAAGAAATCAGAGCTTTTTATTGAAGCTTGTTAATCTCTGTGTTTGAAAGTTTAATAATTTTGAAGACAACAAAGTAAATATGAATTTTTCTGGATTTTTTTTTTTGCCTTAAGTAAGCAGTACCAGTAAGAAGGGAGTTCTTGTGTCATGAAATTGCTAGGTCTTTTTCCTCTAGGTTTTCAAGAAATGTTTGAGAGGTGGGAATATAATTAAAATCTTATTCTCCCTTTGGCTGCGTTTTTAATTTTGAATTCAAACCCTGACACAGCGTAATAGAGCTTTGCTTTAGGGTGTTTTATACCTCTATCAAAGTGACTGAAGTAATTAGTATTTTATACATTTTGGTAAGTATTTTGTCACTGGAAGCACCAATGCAGGTGAATGATAATGGTTTGAAGCTCAGGAAGTGACGGGACCCTAAATGAGAATGTCACCTTTTAATCAAGAGCAGTTGCAGTCTATGGTATTGAAATGCCCTACAGAGAACATAGAAAAGCCATCCATCACTTTGTGACAGTCCAATCTTTTAGTGCAAGAGTAAAATTTTATTCAGCCTTTCTAAAGCAGTTGGAATATAAGATGTTTTAACTCACCTCAGAACAGGAGTGTAAAAGTTTGAAAGCATAATGTACAGATTGCTTTCTGGGCAGCTTTATGTGTCTTTACGTATTATCTTTATTTATTTAGATTGCGATTGAAAAGTTTTCCGTGTCCTGCTTCAAATGCCTCATCCCTCCCTCTTACACACCCAACAGGCGAGATTATTTCTAAATTTTAGTCATATGTTTGGAGTGAATTTGCATAGTTGATTAACTCTTGATGCTCAGCAGAAATAGTTGGCAAGTTAGAGGGAAAGAACTGCTGCTTTGGGAAGGGCTTGCACAGAAAAGTAGTTTGACACTTGACTCAGAAGCCCTCTGGGGAATGGTTAGAAGAAGCTGAAGTATATTCCGTGACATGTACTTGGAATTATAAGCTATTATTATAGTAATTCAACAATCTAATTCAAGCTTTGTGTTGTTATGTTTGTTTTCAACAACCCTCACTCAGCTTTCTTTATAAGTGAAAGCAGCATCATCATCTGAGGACAATGTCATAATTTAAACAAAAATATTTTTGTTATCAGGCATTTGGGAAATTTAATCTTAGTGGAAGCAGAAACCTGTACCAGGAACCTTGTCTTTTAAGATGAGTTGGCAGTGATGAAACTCGTTGACTTAAATGGATTTACTCCCAATTTACACTGTATGCATGACTGTCTTGCCCACCCTACTAGCTGCTTGAAATCAAGGACATTGATCTGCACCGTACTTAATACCTGTATTGTTTTCAGCTGGCTACTACTCAGGTTTTTTGTTTAGTAAATCGAGTTTTTTAGTACCCCGTGGAACAAAATTTGCTGTGAATATGCAAGATTCGTGGTTTTTTGCATCCTGGCGTTTGAACATTTTCAAGCCGAAATCTTTTTTGTCCTACCTCAAAATAAGGTAGGATCTTCTGTGAAGGAAGAACGTTACTAAAGTGCTACCATGTACCAGAGTGCTGAGAGAGAAAAGGCTGGGGAAATTGTATTGGGCTTCATTTTAGTGAGCGGAAAGGAAGAGAGAAAAAGTTTTTCCTACTGAGTCCAAGAACCAGTAAAATGAACTAGATGGTTAAGACATGTTTATACATGTTACTGAACAAGTCTTTCCAGCAAACCTTTCTGTCACAGACATGGAGAGAGTTAATTTTGTTCAAGAGAGTTCTATTTCTTCAGTCTTATGTTTTTATTGAGTCTTCGGTGAGTTTGCCTTCAGAAATACCCTATGCTAATGACATTGGCGATGAGAAATTTTTTGGCTATAATTTTAACTTGAGCTTAGACACATCTAATTCTGACACCTTTCTCTGTGAATTGTTCCCAGTGATGTAAAGAGCTGCGTTTTTGTCTGCCATAGTGTATGTGTTCAAGTTTTAATGGCTCCTGTCATGTCATCATGCAAAGTTAAATAAATTAAATATTCAGAATGTGCAAGAGCCTGTACCAGGCTTGTTATTCAGTGAGAGCTAATATATTAATGAAACAGCTTAATATGTGTTCCCGTAGGAGCAGCATTAGCTGAGACTCTGTTAAATTGCTGATATTCAAAGTCTACTCCCGGTTTTGAAAAGTCTGCTCGTATCATCACTGCTGTCATCTAGTGACATTCGTGCTCTGTTTCCACATGGCATTCTCACTCACTGTAATTGGCTGCTAGTGAAAATACAGGTATTATCCATCTATTTTATAAATTACCATTTTCTTCTGGCTGCCTGCCACAGCTTTGTCAGGATGTCACAGAACTTAAACACAGCTAAAAGCTAAGTAAGTTGCTACAAGCTGGATATTGCTGCTTTAGAAGTAACCTACTATAGGAATAATTAGACATATACCATTATTGAGGCTGAGTTAAAACAACTGTGTCAATGAAATTAAGAATGTCATTGTGGTATTATTGTGATTATAAAAATCAGCTGCCAAAAGTGAGTAAAAGTAATTTAAACTATTGAGCTTCTCATAAAACAGTCGGAGACAGGTGGGATCCTCAGCAAACCAAATTGGGTGTTTGGGGCAAAGTTTTCACCAAGTGTGAGGGCTTGATTGAGATCCAGACTCCTCTTATTACTTATTTTTCAACAGGGACCTACAACCCCCTAGTAATCACTTTAAGACAAAGCCAAAGTATCAGAAATACCGAATGCGGAAGCAAAACCAAACCAAAAAACTACATATGTAGTCACCTTCATCTACAATTGCTCTACTCAATATAGTGTTAAAATTGACTAACTAATGAATGGTTTGCAGAAAACAAAACAGACAGGGAAAGTTCATGTTTATAGTATTGTTTTTGCTCCTTTAAACTAGACACTGCCTTTCCAGTTCTTACAGAATTTATTTATGCATTTAAGTTTTGCTTTACCAACACACTGTTCAGTTTACCTTGTCTTTTTTACCATGTAAAACTGTAGCATCTAGCAAAAATGGCCACTGAAGATTGTATTGTACCTTCAGTGATAGGCAAATCCATTTTTTTTCTAAGCCATTACATGCACAGTATGCACTGTTAGGATGCCAGAAATGCACAAATTTACATATTGACTTTTATGTTTCTTAATTTTTTATGTTTCTTATACTTTGTAAAATCCTGTTAGTCTAAAATAATGAAAAAATACTACAGAATATAATCCAAAAGTAAATAGATAAGAAATGATGCTTCAGCATAAATCAATTATTCTGTTACACATTTTTAATCCTTGCTGAGGGCGGGGGAAGTGATTCAGACAAGCACTTTCATAGCATGCTAATTCCACCTGGTAATTAGTCCCATCACAGACACCCATCTCAAACTCCACAATGCTGGTTCCACCTAGAAATAGCCAAAACAAAGAATTCAGCTTCCATGGTCTACAAGATTTGCTTGTCCTCTCCCTAAGTAAAAGCAGACAGATGGAGCAATCTTTGGAAATCATGTGAAAACCAATACATCTGCGGTAGGGAATTTGGAACAGAATATATTGAAAAAATTAATAGATTGACCAAAACCTAAGATTAAAAGTAGTGTGTGAATAGGCAGCCTCCCAATGTGTGTTTTCTCCCAGTACAGACAGCATATACAGTAGGGTCCAAACTAGGCTCATTCCTGGGGTTTGGCTTTATTCAAAAGAAACCAGTGTTGAGGTAGCAAAGCTTAGCTCAGGTCTCCTCCCCAGACTTGGCTGCTCTTACAAGAAACTTCTTAGGACTCCCAAGTGTTTGCTGCAGGTCTTCGCTCTCTCTCTTGCTGTCTTATAACCAAGTGAAGTCCTCAGCCAGCTTCCTCACTCGGCGACTGGCACACGGTCCTAGTATGTAATGGAGAAGACTGTGTCCTACCCAGCTGGGATGCACTGAATACTTGATACATGATCTTGTGAAAAGAAAGGCAAAAAAGAAGCAGCACCCCTCATTTTTGCTCCCGTCTATCCCAGGAGGAATAGAGGTTGCCAACCTGTCACGCTGTGGTTGTAGTTAAAATTCAGCTAAAGCACATAAACACAACTTTATAGAGGGAATAAAATGGCACAAGTGGTCCTATAAGAAGCCTTTGACCCGCTGTCTACAACTTTTAAAACATGCCATTCCAGTCAAGATTGCTGTACCCCTGGCTAAGGAGGATACTGGGAGGAGGAGGAGGACAGAGGAGGCTAACATAAGAAGTCATGGCAGCATGGACTTCTGTGGAGGTTAACAGCCAGAGGTAGATTTGATGGGAAAGAATGAACGTAGTTACTGATGGCTTAGCTGCAGTCTTTACTGTAGTGGTTTTATTGTCATTTGGGGTAAAACTAGTGTAAGCATGTTCAGCTGTACTGAAATCACACCTTCATTTGCCAGTGCAGATGCACCCTGTAAATGTAAAGCTACTCCGAAGTCTTTGTGGTTGTAATCTTCAGCAACCTATGGAGGAATACAGACTGCTGGGTGACTATTTTAGCATGAATTCCCTGTAGCCCTAGTTACAGAAACCACCGTTTAAAAGACACAATTTAGTTATAAAATGCACATTAAACACTGCTTCACTGTCTCTCTCTCCTTGAAGTGTATATAGAGCTCCCCGTAAAGGACGTTTACGTTACAAGATCAGTTAAAAAGAAGCTTTACAGAAGCTATCGAGGGCTTCAGCCCATGGTTACACTTTCCTTCTTGCCCTCCTGCAAAGTATTTGGGATTATCCTAGGATGCTGAGGAAGGTGAGGGAGCTAGCGAAGAGGCTGACTGGGTAGAGAAAATGTGCTGGGGGACTGGTGGTGAATTTGGCAGGAAGGGGAAGTTGCCCCACACGTGACTGGGGGTTACAGCACACATTGAGCAGTACATGTTCCCTGGTGACACGCGCTTCCTCACTGCGCTCACGGGACTGCTGTCCTTCATAGGACTACAAAGGGGATTGGAATTCATTCCTGTTTGTTTCCCCCAACACGTGACAGCGAAGAATGAACTATCTTCCCAACTCAATGACCAGGCAAAAAAGCACATTTGAGAGAGATTTGTTCAGCTAATGTTAAAAGTTAAAGGTTATCTTTACTGTACAGTAATTGTTCACTGAGGAAGCTTCTTTCAGGCTCTAACTAATGTTTTGTATTTATCGCTGCATTATTCACGGTCAAGAAGGATGGGGTTTGCAGTACAAAGGTGGATCCATACTGGTTAAAATTCATTTGGCATTCCCTCCACTCCCTCTTTAAGAAAACAAACCTGAAAATAAATGATGTTTCTTATGCTTTAAATCCTGACACTTTAAAACATAGGCTGGACAGATTTGTAGATTATTGAGACACTTTCAGTTTGTGGCTGAAAAACTGCTGAGGATATTGGCTGAGACTTCTGCAGGCTGCACGGAAGGAGCATTTCAAAGCTCTGTGCTCACCAGAGTTCACTCCTTTGTGCAGTAGCACATTATTCTGGAAGCAGTGCTTCTACTCAACTCTTTAATGTTTTTCCAGAAAGAAAAGCACATTAACTGAGTATCTGTCTTTTGTAGTGCTACTGCTACTGCTAAAAATCAGAATTTTCATACAAGCAATGCTGAGTGAGGGATCTGGCATGCCTCTACAGTATGTCTTTATCTTAGTTCCCAGCATTTAACTGGGATCATAGTACTCAGTCTTACTTGCTTCCCAGTCTATCACAGGGCTCTGAAGTCATGATATCAATTGCATACCACTATGCTATGCAAGCTGCTTTACAGTCCTGCACACCGGTCTGCACCCTTTGCCTTGGACAGAAACCACTGCTCTTAAATTGTCCCTGACACATCCAGAAACTCCTGCTGGTGTTATGTCTCAGTGGGACTGGAGGGCAACTCGGGTGTCCATGTGGCCCAGAAAAGCAGCTGCTGCTCTGGATCCCGCTGCCTCTGCCACTGTGCAAGAGATACTGGCACAAACAAAATTAACATCTGGGCTGTAACTCTTAGCAGCACTAATACCTGAAATCCCTTAGGGGCTGGTCCAGAAAAGAAATGACATGTAGAATTTACATTCAGGAATTGTCCTGCCAGGAACAGTTCCTTACTTTCCTTCCCAATGCACCAGCAAGATTAGCACTGAATCCACACAGAAAAAAACAGTGAAGACAGCGAGTGTGATATGTAAATGTACCCAGCTGCAGAAATTAAGGACTATATGTATAAGGAAGCTTCTTCCCCTTTACTGATAAACCATTTTTATTTGCTTAGTCTCAAGATACTAGATACTGTTTCCAGATATTGTTGAAATGTTACTGGAAACCTGTTTCATAAACAACAGAATACTTAGCAAAAGATCACTGAAAAGGCAAAAGTGATATAGTAATTAATAAAAAAAAGTAGGATTGGATTTAAAACCGACCAAATGGGACCAAATAAAAGACAAGAATGCTGTGAAGAATAGCTGTGAGTGCTGATTCCTCCACTTACAGAATTTACACTGGTAATGAGCAGTATCAGAGATAATTTATTTATCAAAAATAATCTTGTATCTCAAGCCTTGTCTTTCTCAAGATCGACTTTAGTGTTTGCTGCTGAAATCCAAAGTGCTGAAAGTATACATGTGCAAGAATATAGTTTGAAGCCTAGCAACTCATTGTGTAAAGCCACTTTACTCAGGATTGTTGAAGATGCTATTTTCTCTGCTCACTGTCACATAATGCAAATGTTTATAAACATCCATCTGCATTTCCTCTGTTTCTGTGACGTCACTGCCTTTTAATATTGTCCTCAGCAAGGGAAGAATCAAGTTTAAGCTACAGACTTCACTGTTGCTTCCACTGATGTTATTATGGCAGCATCCCCTGTACTATGAGCTTACAGAGGACTGACTGTTTTGAAAATAGATCATCTCTATTCATATGTTTTAATAAGATACTAGAAACATGACTATTTTACTTGAATGCTTCTTTTTACCATACTTTGAATATTTAAGACCTTTCTTTGCTATTTTAAAAACAGGCACTGTTGAGTAACTGATGTGTTTCCCCAAAGAAGAGTTCAACTTGCCTAGTTCCTAATCCTGTGATTACTTATGTGTGTAGTTAAAAATACAAACACTTCCCTTATAATCACGTGGAGAAGGATATGCTGAATCATGGCCTTTGCTTTATAGCCTCGGTTTCTAGAAGTACTCCCATAATTCACTAATAATGCTCCTTTATTCTCCTACTTAAAAGAGGATTGTATCAATGCAGAAGGTTTCACAGTGCAGGTTTTACAGGAAAACATTTTTTTCTTCTGAGTATGATCTCTCTGAAGGTAAACTAAAGAAACATTTTAACCACTCGTTCAGTAAATATCGATTTAGCTTTTAGCCAAGCTTTCTGTTCTTCAACAAAAAAAGAATCAAGGTATGAAATGCTATTGATTGAACTGCGAAACTCAATGGCAAAATTCTGATTGGCTTCAGTACGGATTGGGATTTCACAAGGAACATTTATGTATGTAGCATGGGCTAGTTCTGGTAGTGTGGAGACTTACAAGGCGCTCGCAAAATAAGAAAACAACATAGGCTCAGCCATGTGGAACTATCAGAAATTGGTTAGACTGCCACACAGCTTTTTTAGCTTTCCAATCACACACACACCTTCTGCAACTGCTCTTCCTGCTAAATAAATAAACCATAAAGAAGAGCCTAGAAAACACCAACTAGGACCCATGTCGATTTTGTGAGCCTTGTATATAAAAAGTATATATATAATGAAATCTGTTCTTCTCCTCAGTCTCCACTCAGGCATGATTGAAGCCAAGGACGGAGAATTAACTGATAAATCAATTATTCTTTAGAACCTTGAAAAAAACTTTTTATAAATTTTATATATTCCTGTTAATGCTCTAATACAGAACATTCTGGAATAAATCCAATGTACATTTCTGCTGTTTCTGGTTTCGTATGCTGTCTTGCAATTTATAGAAATGGCTTTCATTAATACTGAAATAAACTCCACGCTGGTTTCACTCAGTAGGCTTTGGCCACTCTATTCCCCATCTCCCCTTAATGTGTCAGTTGTGGATTGTTTGACAAATGTTCTATTGCTGGCATGCAACATCTTTAAAGATTCAAAAGAGACAGGAAGGCTAAAAAGGCAACAGGTCGTTAATACAGCAGGCGGTTCCGTCTTCGGTTAAACTTGCTCAGAGTAACAAGCACTAAGACTGTTTTTTCTTCAGAGTGCAGGTGGAGAGGCCACGAATGAAAACAAATTTCTGAACACAGACTCCAGCACGGGATCAGTGGAAACAACCATCAAGCCGTTACCATTTAAAGATCCAAACTTCATCGTAAGTGTATTATTTTAACAATATGAAATTCTAAACTCTTCAAATAAAACATTAACTAGGATTCTATTTAACTATATTGCTAATGTGTATTTTAAGAAAGGCAGCTTAACAGCCAAATAAAAGGTTAACGACTTTTAAGAAATTCACCTCAAGTCCATGCCACACTATGGTCCGAAGTGCACACTATATTACAGCACGAAAATGGCACTGGTCCAGAGGCAGATCTAGTATATGAAATTCTGGAAGAGAGTCAGAAAACCTTCTAGATCAAGGTAAGCACAGAAGTTTTATAGTGTGGTATCTCACAAACTACCACAGCTAGAGAGGAACAATTAAGACCGCTGTGAATGTAGGAATCCCATCTCGCAGTTCCTAGCCGAGGCAGGCTGCAAAGCAATTGAGCTAGAAATCAACCAGAGAGTCATTAGCAACTGGCATTTTGCTCCTTTCCCGGTCCCTGAAACTCCTAACAGACCTGTGATGTCTGCTCTTCCAGTAAGTGCTAGATTTAGAAGCAAGCGCTCTGTGCTCCCCAGAAGCCTGGCCTGCTGGCATTCAGAAGTCATGTAAACTCTGACAGCTGATGAAACACAGGCTGCTAAAACACTCTGAGGTTTAAATTGGGGGAGAAGGTGGAGGAAAACTACAGCCAGTAACGCCGTCGCTGCTGGGCTTGTTTTTAATATCTTTTCATCTCGCTGTGCCAGGGCCAACTCATTGGCATACTGTACAAACGCTTTCTAGACAGGCAAACTTCTCTGACTGCTGGTCCTAAGCCAGTACTTAGAAAGAAGGATTTTATCCCGGACTTCGTTCTGTTCGAATAAGATACAATGTCCCACAGCATAAAACCTGAGTAATCGGGCATCACACAGCTCACTAAGCACAGGTTTGGCAGGGGTTTACAATTAATCTCTGGCTTGCAAGGTGCTCTTTGCAGACAGCTTCTGTCACAAGAGGGGCATTCAAACAACTGTGTACTTTGCTCACTGTAATCCTCAAGTGAACACCACCATCTTTGAGAAACGGGGCTTATTGGAATAGCTCCATTTGCACCCAGAGGCATTCCATATAGGATTTAAATAGCCATGAGGCACTGTGCTGATCTTTCAGTTCTTAGAGGGACGTCACCATTTCCAAAGAGACAATACTAATGTCTTTATGCTTGAAATAATAATGAATGTACGGGGCCTTTGGCAACTGCTGCAGAAATAGGCAGTTATAATAAAAATATTAAATTGTCCTCCTCAATACAGTAACTAATTTGAGAGAAATGTATGGAGTTTTAACTAGCTTTTTGTCAGTATGAACTGCTAGTAACAATTTGGATGACTTTTTGCATCCTTCCAGCCTAATTTGTCTTAAAAGGAAGAAAATAAATCCAATAATGTCTATCTTTCATAAATGCGCTCAAGTTTGAACCATTAGCTCACTGCAGAGGATAGACTTAAAAGCAGAGAAGAAGGAAGAAATTACCTTTTCCTAAACTTCCTGAGTGGAATTTGCATCCCTTGACAATGGGGAAGGGGAAGAAGACCCTCTGACAATTGTGTAAAGCGATTAATAACGCCACCTGTCCTAGCTCCAGCTGTCCCTGAGCTTCACTAGTGCAGAGGTTGCTTGGTTCATTTCTGCTTGGCAGTCATTGCCTTTTGATTGTAGGTGTGTGAGGTGATACTCAGCCCCAATCCTTCGAGGCGTAGGTTCATATAAACTCAATAGTTGCTTTTGAGAAACCAGATTACTGAAAAAATGTCATTATGCAATGATTTGAGGGAATATTCATGTAATGAATTTGAATTAATAATGTGGTAGTATAATGATTTTCATCTCATATTTCACCAGTCTCTATTTTTACAATGATCTCTAGATTACTAAATTACTAGATTACTAATTACTACCATTGCCAAAACCCGATATATCATCAGTTCATGAGCATCTTTTCTGAATATATCTTACAGAAAAAAGCTTTCTCATTGAATCCTTTCTCCTATCATTCTCAGCAATTTAACAGGCTAATTTATAAACCAGTCACAGCAGAAACGTGTTTGCAGAACTTTGCTAAGTTTTGATGAGACTGATGTGGCAGGTAGTAATTATTAACAGAAATAACAACTCCCCAATTGTAAGAACATTTTCTTTCCTGAAGTAAAGCTGTAAATCTGTGTCCTTTGATCATTTAGAAGTAGTACAGTATGTTGTGCAGCGTCTGTCTCTGGAGAGACATAAATAAATTATTCTGTAGCAATCACATTTGATAACTGAAACTACCATTATAGTACCTGTGGCAAGCCTTCCATTAGTGTACCTTTCAAAATGCAAAATTGTCTTGGCAGCGAACATTCTATTTATTACTCTTTTTCTATTCTTCTGTCTTCTATCCTTTGAAAGACAAATAAAATTTCCAGAAAGTTTCTCATAGTATTCATTACATTTTGCAAGATCAGTTATGTTTTCTACAGTCACGGATAATTTACAAGAGCTAGAGCTGCACCTGTAATATGCCATAAAAAGGAGAGATAAAATTTAGCCGTGTAATCACAATTTTAGACATAACTTCATAGTAATAAGTTCTAATATGATGGGAAGTACATACAGAATCCCGTAATCTCCGGCTAAACCTAACCACATTGATTTTCTATTTTCTTGTAAAAAGCAGATTTTCATTTCCTTCAGTTAATCCTAAACATAGTAGCTTTGACACAGCCCAAAAAGCTTTGTTTTTCTTGCAGCCAAGATTAAAGTGTACAGTATATTAGCGTGCTGATGAAATAAGTGAGGATAACAAATGGTTCATGACGCGATGAGACGTATCAGAAAGACTATGAAATAGAAGTGTCACGCTCTGAAACAGTATTTTTATTTTTTTTCTCTCTAAACACCATATTTTTTATTCTAGCACTCCGGCATTGGTGGAGCAGCAGCTGGCAAGAAGAACAGAACTTGGAAGAACCTAAAACAAATTCTTGCTTCTGAAAGGGCATTGCCATGGCAACTAAATGATCCTAGCTGTAAGCTGCTTAGATGCTTTGCATGTATTTATAAAAAATAAAATCCACACAAATAACTTTCTTTAAAACAAACCTAAATTATTTCATCAGTGCATGCAGTATCCTGCTTGAACAGGGACAAGTAGTACATTTCAGACTAGTCCAATCACACTCGCCAGCCCTAAGTGCAAAGTAGGGGGAAGCAAGTAATTTGGAGTATTGTGACAAAGTTCAAATACATTTGGGGAGAGTTTAATAAAGGAAATTCGTTTATCTGAACCAGGTCAAAAACTCCTTATTCTCATCAGGTTTTTGTTACCTCTTCACTGCTGAGGAGCCTTCCTCCTCTTCATGCAGCCCAAATGTCTTCTGATGGATGGCTGCTGCTTGATTAGCTGTATTTGAACTATTTACAAGTGGATTCTCCTAAGCCACATACCTGCAGTAGCTTAGACCTCAGCCCAAGCTTCCTATCCAGCTCCTTATCCTGGATTCTTGGGAGAATTAAATCCTACATCCCCTATTTAGTTCAGCACAGCTGAAACGACACTATTAGCATTCCTGATTACAGCTAGCTGGCGTACATCCCCAGGAGCAGAGTTACAGCAGTGGTCTTCATCTAGGTATACTTCAAGTCTACTCGTAAAGTTGGATGCTATCGAACATAGCTGGAGGCAGAATGTGATCCTCAGATTTTACTTAAGCAAGTGGAGGCATCTCAGAATTGAGCATATGCATATACTTTTTGTCAGACTTGGTGTTTCTTCCAAAAATAGCTTGTCATTTTTTGAAGTGTTTTAGACGCAACTGTTACAGAAAAATGCAGACTACTGGGTGTTCCTGGCTATTGTAACTGACAATCTGCTGATGTTGCTATTTCTATTATGCTCTGTTTGCAACTGTAAATTTACAGGATTTTTTTTAAGAAGGTGGGAAAAGAAATTCATTTGCATATTTCAAACCAGATGTCTGTGGGATTAGCATCTTTTGAATTATGAGATGATGAGTTAGAAATTTGATATGGATGGAGCATTTGAATTGATCATAGCGTCTGAACGAGGTGCAAGGGAGATCAGGAAGGAGGAAAGAAATGAGTCAGATACAAGATATTTTTGTAAACATCCAGAACTTAAGCATACCAAATGTATCTTAAAAATGTTTATGAATGAGAGTTGTTACCTAAAGGGCACCAAAGAACAGTAATTTCCATCACTTAATTTAAACATTCAGACAATTTTCTAGGTCATTGACTGGGCTTAAAGTGGTACATGCTTGAAGATTTAACTGATTTAAAAGATTACTTTGCTTTTCTGGATTATGGTATTTCAGAGCTGCAATCTTGAACAATGTTTCGTGGTCTTACCATACAGCATGCATTTGAGAATGGCTGTTCTTTGCAAATAACTGACTCCAAGGGAATTTGTTAAAACTTGGAAGAAATCAACGCATTTCAAATAGCTCCTGCATTTTTCTTTTTGGAAGGGCAGTTCTGCTTACTGAACTCTTATTAGAGAGGTGAGCAGAATCAGACTGTTGTTTACAGTACTAACAGGCTAAATGTTTTTAGAGGTAATTCTGCTTCATGTTTCTTTGCCTTATTGCTGCTAGTAGAGACCTCAGAAAGTAAAGGTAGCGTTTTAAAGAAGTATTGTTACCTATTTACATTTTGAGTTTGCATTTTAAAATATATATCGCACTCTGAATTTATCCCTTTGTTTTTCTCTAGATTTTAATATCGATGCTCCTCCTTCCTTTAAGCCTGCCAAGAAATATTCGGACATTTCAGGACTTCCGGTAAGTATTTTATTTTTCTCTTCAAAATTGGCATCTCACTTTCCACAATTAAATAAAGCTGGTGCATGCTTTTGTAAAAGATATTCTTACTGAGGTTCCTATTCAGTCTTATGCTTAATAGCTGTCCAGTGATTTAGGGCCAGACCTCAAATACCTTCCCTACATCATAAAATCCTCAGGTTGTTAATAGATGTCAGGATAGATTAAATACCTGTCCTGCCAAGTGGCTCCTATCACACCACTGTCCCAGCTCTGAAGTCTGCAACAGTCCCCATCATTTCTGATTCTTTAGTTTATTACAGTGAAAGCGGGTGGCCCACTGTCTCCATGACTCCTAACTTTGCCAGGCTTTAACCACACAGACTGAAGCTTTCCATGCTGAGTGTTTGCCCAAAGCTGATTTATTTCATTATATGTTTTAAAGAAGGTTTCAAAAAAAAATGGCCTAGCAATTTCCAAGAATGAGATTAGGCAAAGTTATATTGATTGGCCCAGGTTAAAAAAAAAAAATCTTGTTATCACATTACTCTCAAACTTTCCCTCAAACAAATCTGCCTGAGACAGACGCTTGGCACGGACTTTTGAGAATTTCAAATACCCCCGTGCTTCAGAGCTGGAACTTGGAGTTTGGCAGATGTATAGCCTGTGTGTCACAGATGGGCTCTTTTACATGGTTTTGTTAAAGAAAAAAAGAAAAGGAAAAGAAAAAGGAAAAAAAAACCACATTTGACTTAGATACAGCTTGCACATGCTCCAAAAAGTTTTGGTAGTTACAATTTGGCACCTGAATTCCCCAAAGATTCTGCTGGCACAAAACAGGAGTAAAGTCATTAAATTCTGCCCAACAAAAACTTTGTATCTGCTACTGACATTGTTCTTATGTGACATGAATAATTTTACTTCAAACAAAATGCGTTAGTAACAGTGTATCTTTTCACCTTCAGGCCCCGGTGATTTATTTTGCAGAAGCCTATTCACGTTTTACAATTTAAATGAATGGGAATGTTGTATATGGACTATAAAAAGGGTTAAGTAATGGTTACACTATGTAACTCAATATTGAAAACTTTGTAACATCAAATAGCCTGAGGCAGAATTTCTGGGCCCTTTCCCCCAGTTTAATCTGTTTTTCATCCATAGGGCACTAGCCCACATCACAGGCTTGATGTCACCTCACAGAGATGCCTGTAAATATACACATTGGTTTTGTCGATGCAGGTTAACACAGCACCTTGCATTCTGTACATTGAATTAGGTGGAAGTCCCTGTTGGGAAAAAATTGAGTGAGCACTTAATTAAGGACTGCCTTATAGTGGATACACAGTGCAAGGGATCAAAGAATAGCTGTAGCATCAACTGTAATCCTGCACATCCTAACATTTGAGTTCTTGATTTGGCAGCATATGTTTTCTTTGGCTTTTTTATTTCTTAAGTAACACATTTAAATATGGCACCTAGGAGGTGGCATGTTTCCAGCCTGCGCCTTTGAGCATGATTTGGAAATGAAGTGGGTTGCTCGGATCGAGGCTGGTAACCCTTAGTGTTCAAGAGGGAATTGGAAAGCAACATCTCCCTTGCAGATGAACTGGCAGACAGCAAATGGAAGAAACTGCTCACAAACCCAGGGAAAATATTTCCCTCCAGCTCGGCAGACTTACTCTTGTACTCCTAAGAGTATTGTTTTGATATAATAGCAACTTGTTTTCAGACAAGGAGCAGGTGTCAGTTGAATAAGGAACTTCGCATAAGTACCCCTACTCTATATAAAGATGCAGCGGATGGAGCAAGAGGGGATAGGTGGACATGTGAAATAATAATGAGTAGATTTAACCAAAACAGCAAATATTCCATACTGGGCCACTTAATGGTGTTCATCTGTTTCCTATCCTCTTCCCTTAGAGTTGCTTTGCAAGTATTAGTAGCATTCACGCCAGATGGTGTTAGAGTTGCTGCAACATCTTTGACCTGTGAGGGACTTGCATGGGGCAGGAGGCGTACGGGCATAGCTCCCTTTCACTGCCCATCTCCAGGGAACCAAATAGTGCTTTCCAGCGCTGGCCTTTGATGCATTTCAAAACCAGTCAGTCATTGCACCTGTAGCAAGATGATCCTGCACGTTACAGATGTGAGTTAAGACCATGTCCCTGCCAGCTAAGTTTAGCTATAGGAAATAAGAGTCTTCCTCTCAGTTCCTCAGTTTGTTGGCCAGCTCCTCCTTTCCATCAGTGATTTATGCATTCTAACTATTCTCAGTATAAATACTTTCCTTTCTATATGAATCTATACTCAGTGCTGCTTTTGTTTCCTTTTTTTGTCTTTCCACTTTCTGATTTTCCATCCTCTAATTGCACTTTGAGTCGAGTTTCCTATTTCACCTAGCCTGCACGGTTTCTTGAGACCATGATAAAAATACCGTGTTTAAAAAAAATCTTTTTTTATTAAGATAACTGAGACAGCGTGTCATTTAAATTGCTAAGCTAGAAATGTTTCATAAGAAGCACTAAATATATTTTCAAGATAATTTCCTAGTAGGAAGATATGTGGGGTAATAGAATATTTTAGAAATCTAGTATAAGAAAAATGTCACTGTATTTTCTATGTAAAATCTGAAAGCTTTTGTGTAAGAATATATTTTCTATGGGAATGCTGGATTCCCCATGGGGAAAAAAAAAAGTAAAATAAATTCCTTAGTATTACCCATTTAGGGAAGAATTAAATGGTCTAGCAGGTACAAAAAAAGAGAAGTGTATTAAAACACTCTCATCAGTATACCTGCAGTTATATTTAATGCCACAATTAAATTCTACTGATCCTCTTCTCTTTCTGCGTGTAACACAAATGGAATTAAATTTACCAATGGTCTAAGCAGAGCAGCCAATTTATATTTGTAAGGCAGCCTAGAATTCAAAAGCTACTATCTACTGTATTGACATTGCAGAATAAAACTATTATTTCCAAACTTGCATGAAGAGTATTTAGATATTTTAACATGCAAAATAAATCAATTTATTGTAAAGCAGGTTAAAAAAAATCCCAAACCTTCAAATATTTATATTTCTCTTTCTTTTCTGCAAATGGATCAGCCTTGTTACTATAGAAACAGATTGAGATAACTAATTTATTGTATTTGAAGAGCATGTATCTGTGGCCTTTGACTTAGTTTCTAAACAAGGCAGAGTTTTTCCTTTGCAAAATCACCTTACTTCACTTTTCTAATCTGTGTTAATTATTGCTGAAGTAGCGGTAAAGTTTGTTTTCAGACTGAAGTCATGGCATAAGCGACAAACCCGGAGCATGCTGGTTACCAGACATCAGTGTGTGCGAGCAGTACAGCCCAGTACGAAGTGTCGGAGTGGTGAAGAACTGCCGCAGTATTCTTAACCTAGATTGGTGGGCAATACGAATTGCAGATATTGCTTGGCTAGTTTGTTACAGAATCATGCACGTTTGAAAAGCAGTCTATTTCATTAGCTTTTTCTTACATGAGGCCAGATTTAAAGTGTGAAATAAAAATAAATTTATACCTGCTGTAACCATAAAGTTACTACTAGGGATCAATTTACTCCTAATGTCCTAACTTGGCCATTTGTTTGAAAATTAATCGATGGCTTGACTGTTGGCTGACTACATTTAACTAACCTTGTAGCATTTCTTTGTAAAGAAACAAGCTACAAATAACAATTTTCTGCTAAGTCTTACTTGGCCAGACGATTAACTGGATTGTTACCATGGTCAACAGATCCTTTCCAACATAAAAATGGTAGAGGGCTCTGCACTTCAACAGTATGGGTGGAGGGAATGCTGCAGCGCTTCCTGGCCTCTTATTTTTCAGTAGCAATATCTTAAGGGCTCTCAACTGCCTGTGCCTTGCAGCCTGCCACCAGCTCCTGCTAAAGAAAGGTACAGAAGACGCTTTCAGAGCCTTGGCAGGCACTTGGTAATCCAATGCTGAAGGGGCGGTGATTGTCCTGGAGGCTGAAAGTGGAGGGGTGATCCCCTGAAGCCTGCCTTCTTCCAGCCCAGCCTCCTGTGCTGCCCCCCCCAGCTCATCCGAGCTCAAGGTTTCTGTAGCAACAGGGAAGGGGAGAGGATGGAAGGAAACTGGCACGTCTCCCAGGCACCCAGAGTCCAAATATAGCAGAGGATACAAGCGTCGCCCAGGGTTAGCTGGCCAGGCTGCTATCCTGACAGCAGGCATCTGTAACAAAGCACAACACTGAGTTCAAATTTCTTATCAGTTCAGTCACAGAACCATAAACTGAGACTCCCTTGCTTTAACAACCACTTTAAAGTAAATTAAAAGCTAAGTTGTATGCAGGAAGAGAAAATCAGTCCAAAGCTATCAGAGCACCCATAATTCAGCCTCTTTGTGGGTAATTTATTGGCAGCAGCCTGAGCTTTTGGAGAGCTGCCTTGAGAGAGACTGCACGAGGCACAGAGTTGCTAGGGTGAGTTTAGAGAGTTGAGGAATTTCTTTTGCACAGTGTTTTGTATGAAACTATTTCAGCCCTCCGTTATGTTTAATGCATTTCTAATGTGATTTTATAGGGGTCTGTTAAGTTCTCATAAGTTCTGACACGAGGAGATAGGAAAAAAAATACAAACTTTTGGTCACATGGTAGAACAGCAGTGCTGTTACTGGGAAAAAAACCTCACTATTTTGTGGTCTTGTAATTAGACACTTTTTTCAGTATTCTGTTTCGAGATGTTCTTTTAATAGTGACTCTGCCATTGTTTCTTTTTCAGGCAAATTACACAGATCCCCAGAGCAAGCTGAGATTTAGTACTATTGAAGAATTTGCCTATATTCGGATGCTCCCTTCAGACGTGGTTACAGGATACCTGGCTTTAAGGAAAGCAACAAGTATTGTTTCCTGAAGAGACCAAATATTGTTGTGCATCACTTGTGAACAGTGCTTATTTTGAGAATCACGATAGAAACTGACTGCAGGACTGAGGTTCCTTAAAACTATCCATGGATATTTACATCTGGAAGTAGTTGATGACACATGGATTTGAAAAACATATGGATTTAATTTTGATAAATGCTGATCTGTATTAGTTTGCCAATTTGTAAGCAATTTGGTTTGGTGGGGAATAACTTAGACCTTAAGGATACGTACCTGCACCATAATGTCTGAGTTATATTAATTTCTGTAGAGACAGGATTTCATCTCCACCTTATATATCTTACATACTGCTCTGGCTCAGAAGAAACAGTCATTAGAATTAAGGAAAAGGTACCAAGATATCCCAACTTCTAAACCTGCCTTGCCAGATGCACTTGCCATTTGGCTATGAAGAAGTTTGACCCACCTGTAAAAGGAAGCTAAATTACCTAGCAAGCGCTGCTATTGTGATGACTGTTTACAGTACTGAGCACTGTGGAAATGAACAGCTTCACACAAATACTTGTACTGAAGAACTGTCGGCGTAAATAAAGTCGGATTCAAACTTGGTTTTAAAACATCCTGATGAATATGTGTCACAGGATCAAATCAAATCACCAGGTAAATCTTAATTGTGACACTTTGTAGGTTTTGAGTGCTTCATTTCACAACCTGACTATTCTACCTTTGCTGATTAGTACAGTATTATGATTAATTCATACAGAAAAGTACTAACATCCCAGACTTTTTAAAATCAATGCTAAAATAGCAGGAATTCCACTGTCCAGTGATATTCTGACACCCAGACAGTCTTCAGCAAGGAGAGACCTCCTAGGTCAGGTCACTGACCTTTGCACCATGAGGTACCGGAAGAATAACGGATAGCAACTGAACATTGTCACCCTTTAGAGGAAGGAACTGAAGGAGAGTTTGGACACTTGCTGGAAGGGCTGACGAGTACATGCCAACATCAGAATGACCATGATTTCCTGAAACTAAGTCTAGGGGCAAGGAGGCAGAGGGTTTTCTGCCCATTCTTTTCTTTTTGTGTCCTCTTTCTTATGACAAGCTACTAATTTGTTGTATTCCCACTTCTGCATCTTTGTCCTAGCCTTTTGTCAAGTTTTAATCTGGACTCCAAGTTCAGGCTCAGCCATTCCTAGCCTCCAACCACACAGTCTTCACTGCCATACTCCACCAGCTGCCCGTAGCTGTGGCACTTACCTCCCTTATCTCTCTGAACCAGTGGGTGTTAGGCAGAAAGGCAGCTAGGCGAGTTACCACTTGTTGCGGGAAAGCTCTCTTCCCATGTGCAAAACTGCCAAGTGGAAGACTTGGCCCACAGCTTGTTAGTCTTGGACTGCCTAGGTCACTAAGGAGGTGAGCCACTGATCATGGGACAGCAGTCCTGTCTCACCCAGGCTCCATTGTGGACATTGGCATCTTGTGCAAGGCACCTCTTCTCTCTGACTGCACAAGCAGCGTGCAGTGGTGACTAGGTAATGTCTATGCTGCACCTTGAATGCACATTTCTATAGACATGATAATTATTAGAATAGATTTTTTTTCCCCATAGAATGAATAAATATGCAGAGTGTTATTAATGCTAGTTTAATTTCAATTCCAAAACAGGAAAAACAATAATGGGACACATTGTTTAATGGAAGTCTGTGGGACTCACTCCTCAGTTTTTGTGATCTAATATTTACAAAACCAAAGTAATTTAAAAAGTCTTTGACAGGCTTACAATAGATCCTTCAAAGCCCTGGATACCAGATAATGCTACAACTGTATCACAGAACAAAAAAGAATAAGACAGGATATCTCTCTTCATGCCAGAAAACATCCAAGCCACATTCTCTTTGCATCCGAGTTTTAGAATGGATGTTTTTAACTTACTTTATGTACTGAAGATGTGTTTATAAGATAAGCTTAACGTTAATATGAAAAGAAAACACATAGAAATGCTGCAAGATCATTTATGCTTTAAATAAGCAGACAGCAGCCCAGAAAATCATATTTCACCAGCTTGTTCTCTCCCAGAAATATTTTTAACATTCTTTGGGAATGACTGTTTAGGAGCCCAGGCTCTCTCACCATCAGAAGTGCTCCACACGCTCCTGCACTGCACATTAAGATGTTGCTTCTCAGCTAATTTCTACTGCACAGTGCATACGCATTCCATTTCCAAAACCTAAGTGTCTCACTGAATAAATCGGCATCAGAAAAGCAAATACAGCTTAGATTTGACAAAAACCTTAGTGACTCTTCTCGCAGTGCTCTCTATCCATATGATGGCTGCTAGATTCTCTTTTCTTTCCTTGTTTCTTCCTTTCTTAGCTACTGGCCCTTTTTTCTAGTCAGAGGTACCTCACTTTTACTCATTAGGCTGTGCAGTTGTCATGCCAAGAGTGACGAGTCAGCCACCAGCACCTTTCAGCATTACATTGATCAACAACAATTTACCACACGGAACAATCAAAACGAATTTGTTTTAGCAGGAAGCTGAGAACGGAAAAGATCTAGGGGCCAACATGTATGACGCCGTTCAGTCCAGCTAAGTTCTTTCTGGGAACAGCATGTGGACCTGTTGTTCTCATCAGTGCCTTCTGTGAGAGAACTGAGCAATACCTCCCTCACTGTATGTAAGAGAAAATATTGATAAGTAAGTGAAGAGCTCATCTGTGCCATGGAGTAGTTTTAGAGTATGCTTTATTGACAGCTTTAGAAGAAGTGAAAATTGGGAAGTATGTTTACATTTTGAAGTACTTATGGGACATTGTCTAGATAAACATAAATAAGTTGAATTTAAATTGAAAAGAGAGCAAAAGAAAGCAGCAACAAATACCATTTCAGACTTGGGGAGAATGCATTTTGACTAATAGTACTGCCACATCTGTAAAGCAGGAAGCCAGTGGTCAGAGCGAGGACTAATTTGTTCAAGCACAACCGCTGCTATGTGTGAAGTGTCACCTGAATGCGTTACTTAGTACAGCTCACGGACGGCTTCAGCCTAACAAACATTTGCATTAATATGCTCCTCTGTCATCCCTCTCCATTACCCCTGTAAGAGCTTGCAGCATGCCCATTGCTAAGCTCCCACAGAAATCCCACTGACAGTAATGGGAAGTGAGCTTGTGCAGCAACTTGCAAGGTACAGTCCAACTGGCAAAGCTTTACCCTTAGTCTTTTTGTTGAGTGGAAGGCATATTTTCCTTGCCTCATCAGTCCTATCCCTCAGAAAGAATGAGCGTGTTCACCAGAGGCCAAGATCCTGTTTTCCTGTGCAGCTGCCTGCCTCACACACTGCTGGTCCAGCAAACACTGGAGGTAGGGGGTCACCTCCAGCTTGCTGTGGGGTTGTCTGTTTGTTGTTTTTTTTTTTTGTTTAAGATTGCAGTAGCTTGTATTTACCCCATGCTTTGGGTGGATCTGCGTGTTCTTGAAGACCTAGACAAAGCAGGCAGCTGCCTTTGCAGCAGTCAGCCCCAGGGCACCAAAACTGCTGTAGCTGAACGGCCTAGAATGGCCAAAGCCCTGGTGCTGCGAGGACGCTGTGCTGCAGCTGGGGCAGGGGCTGGGTGGCATGGGGCTGTAGGATGGTGGGATGGGAAGGCATGTGCTGGGGGCAATGAGGGAAGTGAAGCTCCCAGCAGCTGCAGCTGCTGCCTCCATCCTTCTCGTCCTCTCCAGTGGATGGGAGAGCAGGATGCTGGCGCTCCAGGGCTCTTGCCTTGATTATTCACTGCTGGTTTGTACCACCTATGGAAACCTCCTGCCCCAACCCTGCCCTTTGCTGTGTCTCTACTAGGAATGACCTTGGCCCTATGTCCCTGGAAAGCAGCAAAATTCAATTCAGAGGGGCCTCAGACAGCTCATTTCAGAGCCCCTGCATTTCACTGACCTGTATCTCCCTGCTTTCTCCCATCATAGTGTTCTGGATCCCTGTGGAGTTGCTATATATGGGCTTCCATGGAGGACAGGAGTAGCAGGCACGTGCAGGGAGATGTTACTTGATCTCCTTTGACAGAGGCCCATGAGTGTCAAACCCCACCATAGCACAGGGAAATGAAGGAAAGCAAAGGGAAGGGCTTTTTACTGGTAAAAAATACCAAAGTACAAATGAACTAGTATAAGGTTAAAAAGCTTTTGTAAGTCTGCTCTGTTAAGAAAAAAGCTCAAACTCCCTGCATGATTACAATCTTTTTCCTGAAGGGCTAAGTCATCTTTAAAAAAATAATACAACAATAATTTGTTAATAGAAAACTTAGCAATGGGTTTTAAGGCCTCTTACAATCTTTAACACTTTATGTGGTTTACATACTCGAAACAAAACAGCACACAGTTTTTCTTTCTGAATCAGTTCAAGGCAGATGACTTTCACAGATTCCATGTCAGGTCTGGGAGAAAAACCCTGACTTAGTGCTCCTTTAAACAAGAAGAGTGAAGCAGTATCCGTATTGCTACTGAGCACTTCAGTCACACTGAGATGGTGATACCACTAATACCAGAATTCACAGAAATCCCTTCGTATTTTTCTCATTTTAGTTTGTGTCCCTCAATTAAGAGCCACTTTTCTCTGCCTGTTGGAGAATGAGTGGGTGGGACATAATAAAATAATACATCTTCAGGTAAGAAAAACATTTTGTTTGAGCCTATTTGGTGTCTGTGAGTATTGCTTGACTTGGTTTTGTATTATTTGAGAAGCTCAAACAAATCCAGACCTTTCAGATAATTACACTACTGTAAATCACAACCTACAGACAGCAATAACAGTAATCTCTTGGGAGAGATAATAACAACTAACAAACATAGTTTAAACTGTTGGTAAGTAGCACTTGTGTAATTACACATGGTTTATGACCTATGAGATCATGCGTTAAGTACAGAACATCGCTTTTTCTGACATCATAGCCTAAAATCAATAATCTCTAGATAAAGATGGTAGCACTAGTGGACTAGACAACAAGATGGCTTGGGGGCTGGCTG